TTYMSGGKYCMAWTKMYTMMMAAAAMCMSYTAAAATAAAATGAAAAATCTCTTTAAAATGATTTAAACTCTATCTAAATAATCTTAGCTTTGATCAATAAAACCTGCCACAAACAAAAAGTGAGGAAAATTTCCAAGTGAAGTTAAAGCTCAACGAAGTACTCTCATATATTTGGGCTACCTGTGTATAACTTTGCTTTGAGGTTTGGTCTACCTGTGGTGTTGTAGTTGCACGTGCCAACATGGCGGACAAACTTCACTAAATTTACTTTAATCTTTGTGATAATTTAAAATGGTTTTGACTAAATCTTACCTGCGATACGAGCCCACAGGCTGTTTTGGTCTYGTTGGGAGCCTTAAGGCTAATGTTTTGTTTGTGGAAGGGAAAGTTTTAGGCTTGAAATCMAGCGTTCAACTTGCAGTTGTCCCTGCACTTGAAGATGTGTTTATTTGGGACACAAAGAAAGAAGAAAAGGTAAAAGGATCTTTTTATTTYACGTTTTTACAGCTCGTATTAATATGCATATATTTATATTTTAGATCAATCAATATATTGGTTGTTTTGACGATTCTTAAATTTTGATATCGCCAAATTCAGTATTCAGCTATGAAAGATCTTTTTGTAAGAGTTWATTACCGAGAACGGAGGCAATAAAAAATATTATTGACTTACAAATAAACTTTGTTAAAACTTAAGCTTATCTTATAAGCTCAWTTCTTTTTGTTTACATGTATTTTATTTTAGGTTAGAGTTTTGAAAGGAAGCAAATGGGAAGTTACAGCAATGGCTATCAGTGCTGACCAACAGAGCCTAGCAGTTGGGTAAGGAGTAGATAAGATTGATAGAATTGTTATTCATTCTTAAACCAGAGTTAACATAAACAAATAAAAAACAGCTATGTCCATGTACAGTTCAGAAATACAGCACCTAGGATGTGACATAAGCATGAGTGCTTTTGACCTTTCCTAAGTGCTTCGATACTGATCAAGAAAAGAAAAAGCTGTTTTTAACATGGAATTAAAGTATGGTTACCAATTTCAATGATTATTGTTCAGCACTAGTGACTAACTAGCCTTGGCTATATATATGCCTTGATTGATATCCACCAAAACCCACTTTGTTGTGACGACAATTTCATGCATGCTATAGCATCGAATGACTAAAGACATCTATAGCATTATTGTGCATGTGCATTTGTATTCTTTTCTTTCTTGTTTCAGTTATTAATTTACATATTATTGTTATCATTATCATCAATATTATTATTATATATGTTTATTTCAACTTCAGACATTTTTGCTACATGAATACAGAATATTGCAGGCATGAATAGTCTAAGCAAATATCTGCATGACTGGTTTTACAAAGATGTATATTATTTTACAGGTATGAAGATGGTAGTATAAAAATTTGGAAACTTTCAGATGGAACTTCACAGGTTACTTTGAGGTCTGTAACAATTAATGATTTATTTATAGGAATCTCTTAATATGTCTATCTGTATGATAAACATAATATAACGATTGATAAACCAATCAATCAAACCAAGAGCACTAGGACAAAGATGTTATGTGAATTTGAGTAACAAACTAATAATGTTATCGTAGCTGTAATTAAACAGTGTCTTCAGTGTACAGTCTGTGAGCCATGTCCTGAGTTAGATCAGCTCAGAGGTTATTTTAGGGCTAGATCTGTGAGTTAGCCTTGCCCTGAGTTAGATCAGCTCAGAGGTTGTTTCAGGGTTTGATCTGTGAGTTAGCCATGCCCTGACTTAGATCAGCCCATAGGTTGTTTCAGGGTTTGATCTGTGAATTAGCCTTGCCCTGACTTAGATCAGCCCAGAGGTTGTTTAAGGGTTCAATCTGTGAGTTAGTCATGCCCTGACTTAGATCGACCAAGAGGTTGTCTTAAGGGTTTGATCTGTGATTTAGTCCTTTCCTGTCTTAGATGCTCTCAGAGGGTTAAAATTGTTTTTTTTAAATGAGTGTTTAAATTCTCTTATTGTCTTTACATTTCAGTGGACATAGATCAGCTGTTTCTGTTTTACAGTTTGACCATTCTTGTGGGCTGTTAGCRTCAGGAGGAAGGGTAAGCTATAGAGTGGTTTTTGTATATTGCGTGGGAATCAATATTGGCAAATTTGTAATCGTACTATAGTCATACGATCCGCTACRCATCGTGGTTTCCTACGCTCCTCTCGTGTTCTCTCAACATCCCACGTGTTTTGATCAGAGTATCAAACATGCAAAACTGTTTTTAATCTGTTAAAGAAAAAAACATACAGTCAATTCAAAAAACGTTGTCGTCGACAGGCTTGAGCCTACACGACTGGACTGAAAGGAATATGGGTAAAAATCACTGAAGTGGCTGAAGGTTCATGCTGTAAACCAGGCATAACTAGTCAGATAAAATTATGGAGTCAACTCGGCTTCAATGATTATTACCCAGAGTTCCTTTTGGTCCAGTTGCGTAGGCTTGAGTTGGTTGATGACAACATTTTTTGAATTGACTGTATAATATCGTAAAAACAATGGTAATAACAAAAGTCAAAGCTAATCCCCCACTTCACTTCCTTGGTAAAGGAAATGCAAAAATGACAAAAATTCTGTAAGCAATAATAAATATTGATGGATAATATGATTTCTCTTAGGATACCGATGTTATATTATGGGATGTTATTAATGAATCAGGTTTATACAGGTAAATATTAAATTAAAGTAAATTAAGTTTATTTCTATGAATTTATATATAATGTGTAGTTCCAGAAATTATCCA